TGGAACTTGAAAACGAGTTATCAAACCATGAACAAAACCTAGAGGAAACTTAAAAATACATGTTCCTAAGAAGCCACTCTGCAATGACTCTGTGACATTTGGAAAAGGTAAAAGTACAAAGACAGGAAAAATATTAATGGTTTCCAGGGGCTTTTGGGAGGTAGGGATGGAAAGGTAGAGGATTTTTTTAGATCAGTGAAACTACTCTGTATGTGTATATGCATGCGTATGTGTATATGTGTGTCCACTATAATGGTGCACATTAAGTATTTTGACATTATACATTTATCAAAAAACTATAGAGTGTACAACATCAAAAGGGAATCCTGCTATAAACTATTTCTTTAAGTGACGGTGAGGTATTACATAGAATCATAGATTATGACCTTTGTGGTACAGAATTTGATAGAGGGGGAGTCTGTGTTGAGTCAGAGGCATCTGCGGGCTCTTCATACTTTCTGCTCAATTTCACTGTGAACCTAAAACTGATACAGTAAATGGGCTCTCAGATAAGCATTTGCAAATTTGTCTCCTTTGACAAATTTATGATGCAATTGGTTTTCCCAGAGCTCTTGATTGACTGTGGGTCTACTTTTTTTTCCTCTCCTTTTCTTGCAGTTTCTCTTCTCTTGACAGGTTTAGGGTCAAGGAAAGGAATCCCAAACAAAAGCAAATAGTGAGAAAGCTGGCCGACACCTGACTCCTCTTCCTCCCTGTGCGGCCCCTGCACATTACGCTTGCTGATTCCCCATTACGCTTACTGATTCCCCATTTTTGTTTGCCTTTGTGTAAATAAAGGCTGGTGCCCACTGGTCTCCATCCCAGCACTAACTTTTACTCCCTCCCCTTTGCGGACTCTCGCCCACCTCCCCTTTTTCTTTGTTGAACATTGCATAAATAGCCCTGTAACTTGCCAAAGCGCAGGACAGTGGTCTTTCGGAGTCTGCTCCCCTCCTCATTTGTTGACAAATAACACCACTTTCCTTATCCTCAAACTCTGTTTCCCTTTATTGGCTGAGGGAAACTGAGACTGGCGTTCGGTAACAAAGCTGTTCTAACAAACAGTATCTTCTTGAAAAAGTGTTTTCAGTACATTTTCGTTTCTTAAGGATTTTTTTTTAATTAATTTATTTATTTGTGCATACAGAACTGGGGTACAGGCCAGAGGCTCAGGGGTGGTGAGAGGCTTCACCAGAGACAGAGTGGGGAGCAGAACAGGCAGATCTACGAAGTACACTGCTGAGGGAAGCAGTGGGCGGGTCAGGAGAGGTCTGCCGCGCCATGTGGTCACCTCCAGGGCAGGCGGGAATCGAACTCATGCGGAAGTGGCTTCAGATTCTCAGTGCTGTGCTTTAACCTGCTGCGCCACCAGGGAGGGCCTCTTAAGGAATTTTTAACCAATCTTAGACATCTGCAATAGCGGTCTTTCTTGTCAACATTTTGAAGGTAAGTCTGCTGTCACCTGGCTTCCATGTTTTGTCTTGAGTCTAGTTGTATGTCCTTTGTAGTTGATCTACCTTTTTTCTCTTGACTGAGGTTAAGATCTGGTTTTCCTTTGGTGTTTTAGGCTTGTACTGTGATGTATCTTGATAAGTTTCTCTCAGTTCATCCTGGTTGGAATTCATTGTATGGATTAGGTTTTCATCGGTACTAGAAAAGTTCTCCATTGCAATACTGAAGGATATGGCTTCTTCCCCATTTCCTTTCTAGAACTCTGAATAGGTAGTTGTTAGATGTTCTTGTTTACTCCTCTATGGATGTCTCCTATAACTTCTATTGAGGATTCAGGAAAGGTTTTTCGGTTTTTTTTTTTGTAAGATTTATTTATTTATGCATACAAAACTGGGGTATAAGCAAGAGGTGCAAGGGTGGAGGGCGGTGAGAGGATTCACCAGAGACTGAGTGGGGAGCAGAATAGGCAGATCGGCGAAGTACACTGCTGAGGGGAGCAGCGGGCGGGTCAGGAGAGGTCTACCTCGCCATGTGGGTCACCTCCGGGGCAGGCAGGGATCGAACTCATGCTGAAGTGGCTGAGACTAGCTTGCAGTGCTGCGTCGTAACCCATTGCACCACCAGGGAGGGCCCCAGGAATGTTTTTTAAGCAGAGGTATGGCAGCTGTTTCAGTAAGCCAGCAATAGCACTGACAGTGGCTTGTAGAGCTGAAGAATCAGAACAGTCATCAAGAAGTTGTCTGGCCTGCTTCTTGGTGCTTCCTTGGGATCCCCCAGAACAGGGAGCTTTCCCAGTGAAATCTATTCATCCAGCAGCGGGGCTTGCCCCCCAGAGTGGAGATGCCGGCTACAGGGCTGGGCACACATCAGGGTACTTTAAGTGTTATTGGATCTGCCTGGGAGGTCCAGGCAGTTGGACAGTGTCAGAAAAATACTAGGGCCTCCTAAGTTGGTTTCAGGGTTTTGTTTTTCAGATGTATAGCCTGCTATTTCTGTTGTCTGTATCTTCCCAAAAGAGATCCGAGATGTGATCTGTCCACTGCTCATGGAGATAGGCCCCTGTGTCATCCCACCAAAAGAAAATGTTTCCTTTTAGTGTGATTTTATGAAACCTCTAAGCCCCAGCACCTTGAAATGTGACTGTATTTCGAAAGTGGGTTTCTAAAGAGGTGAGTTACAATGAGATCTCTCAGATGAGCCCTGGTTTAATCTTAGTGTCCTTTTAAGAAGAGATTAGTTAGTAGGAGGAAGGAGACTGGGGATGTGTATGCACAGAGGGAAGGCCACGTGAGGACGCAATGAGAAGACAGGCACCTGCAAGCCACGCCTCAGAGGAAGCCAACCCTGCCAGCACCTGGATCTTGGGCTTCCCACTCTAGAATTGTGAAAAATAATTTTCTGCTATGTCATCTCACTGACAATGACAATGAACATCCACAATATGGTATAAGAATAGATATTATCTTATTGGTATGTGCTTTTAAGAGGAAAAGCAATACCCACAGAAGCATTCCTTCTGTGAAACCTGCCAGATCCCTTTCCACAGATGCTCTGGATTCCAGAGCCCCACAGGGGTCAGGCCTAAATGAGGGGACAGTTGATATGACTTGTGGGAATCCCACTGCCTCTGGCCAGGGGTCATGAGGATGGCTTTGTTACTCCAGGGAACATAGAATCAGGTCAAGAATCATCATCAGTGCTTTAAAAAGCTGTGGTTCATCAACGACATTCCTTTTGTTCATTGCACTGAGCCCTGGCTGCTTTTAACTTGTCTGGGCCTGGTGGATTGGCATGACTTCATTAATGGGACTTCAGATAGAACATTCCAGCCTTAAATCCAGATTTACTCTATTGGACCATAATGGAAGAGTGATATTTTCTGAAAAAGGATATATGTCTGCAGGGTAAGGAATTTTGTCTGTCTAATTTACTGATGGATCCTGGTCTCTTGAACAGTCCTAGAAGATACCAAAGCCCAGTGAATACTGGCTGACTTGGATAAATGAACAGTCAGTCTGCAAATCGAGTTTTCTGTTTCCTGCGGATTTCTAGGACAGTGAGCATGGTGCTGCTCTGCTGTCCCATCTTCCCCTTTCACCCTCTGAGCTGCAGGTCTTGGGGTTTGCTGATGCCACATGTTAGGGGCCTGGGCCACAGCAGAGTCTGGCCACCCTGCCTGGGTTGGTGCTGGAAGGAAAACGTGTCTTCTTCCACAGAACTTGCCTTCTCCCACCTGCAAGTCTGACTGTTCTGGTCCTTCTGTACTCAGGTTGCTTCACACAAGCCGTTGACCCCACACATGCACTTCTTACAGACACCCAGGTAATGGCTCCTGTTTGTAAGGCCCCTCAGCACAGGCCTCCAGCTGCTTCCTAGTGCCCAGCATCGAGACTGTGATCAGTAAACATTTGTTGAAGGAAGCCTGCACTGGCACAGTTGAATGTCACTATCACAGATTTAAAAATTCATGTTGAAGAATATTTCCTGATTGTTGAGAAATTTTTTCAAGCAGAGGACCCTCCAATTATGGTTCTGATAGTCATAAGGAAACGGATTGAAGTCTGTTATTCTGCCAATACTGCTCCTTCTCTGGGAATAAATATGACGGGCCCTTCTAGAACCCAGCGTTCCAAAGATAATCGCACTTCTCTGCCCCTTTTGTCATTGGCACAATGCCAGATACAGTGAGGCTGCAGTGCCTTGGCTCCACAGTGAGGGTTCTTGGCTCCCCTTTCTAACAAGCATTGTATGGGGCTGGTTGCCAGATTCCTCTCATAGTCTGGGAAGAGACCTACTTATGCATTCCTACCTTGTTGCCCTCCCAGGAAGCCTAGAAAAGTCATTCTGATTCTATGACCTGTCATGGAAAACCCATTCATTCATTCATTGGTCACCCAACTCTTAGCCTAGGACCTACAACACCCTAGGTCCTGGGAACACCAAGGAATGGGAATCAGGCTGAGACACTGCCACGTCCCCACTAAGACCTCTTGTGTGACTTCTATTCACGGTGCACCTTTCCACCCTGCGGCTCCTGCCACCAGGGAGCTGGGAATGCTCAGTCAGCCACCTGCAGACCCTCCTCCAAGCTCACACCTGAGAAATAAGACAGAGACCATAACAACTCGATGCAGAATTGTTTACTTTTTTATTGGAAGGTAACTTAATAAGAAATAAATATTAAATTATCAAATTCTGAATTATTCCATAAATAACATTAAATTAACAGACACTTTATAGAATGTTACATTAAATAAGAAAAAATAAGTATCTATTTTGCCTGGAGTCATCTGGAAGAAAATATGCAATGATTCTGATATCTGAAATTTATCTAAAACATTTTATTATTATTATTATTATTATTATTATCATTATTTGTTTTTTGACTGTGTGAGATGGTAATGCAGCACTATGCCCCAAAACATTCTTTGCCTCTGAAGTTTAATTACATTGAACATGAAGGTACCACCCTTTGTTGACCCTCATTGTCATTACAATAAAATATCCTCCACTTCCAAAATCTTTTGATAACAATAGCCAGATTAGGCTCAACTTTCCATTGCCCACTCAGTGTTTATTACACCAAGAATTTCTTGCAGATAGTTGAGGAATTTCTTTGCTTTCCATCTTTCTCCTGTACACTTTTTCTGCGAAAAAAACAGACAATTAGTATTGTAGGAACCTATTGATTGCTATAAAAATAGGCACAGCCAGACAAATATACATGAGTTCCCACTAATTGTTTTTAACTTACTTTTTGAAGGTCTATATGTTTTTTTATTAAAGACAAGTTTTGGAATAGTTTTTCCACAGCACCTCCTTGTACTGTTTGATTCTTCAATGTGTCTATCCCCTGAAAGACTTCTTGAATGCATAGTTGGTGCTAAATAAGGAAGATTTTAAAAATATCAATAACTAAAAGAAGGTATAAATTTTAACCCCAAAAGTTAGGCCTTGTTTTGTTTTATTTACAAGTTTCTTTCTTTTACAAGTAGCAAACCACCTCATACTGAGAAAAAAAAATCTCAAAAGTGGGTGAAATTTATTTAATTAATGAGGAATTTTATAAATTATATATATTAAATATTTAACCAAAAATGAAATGTTTAGGAAGTGGAAGTCAAGTACATTACCCATTAAGTAAACACTCATCAGTATTTTATAGTTCTCTTTGGTAATTTTATTCTGTTTAGAATAATGAAGCCATATATTTTAAATCTTAGTATCACCATGACATATTCTAAACATATACAATTCCATTTTCTAGGTATGATTATTTAAATATGTGGACATGATTATAAATATAGGACATTCATTGTATATGTTAATATCTGCTGACCATAATTCCAAAAATATAACCCTAGTTCACTAAGGGTTTCAAAAAGACATTACGTAATGTAGGCAGTAGACAGAGTTGAACAGAGTCTAGAAGGCACCTCTCACCCCTTGGAGTTCTGGGAAGAATGTCTGACAAGACTCATGAAGATGGAGAACTGACATTTTTACCAAAGAACCCACTTGATCTAAAGTTATCCCTAATAATTAAATGTGCATACATTTATATTAGCACACTTAAAATAGAGAAAAGTAAATAGTTCTACTGACAAGGAATGTTGTATTGCTTACAATAAACTTATTTACGCAATCATTTTATTAATTATATGGTCACTTACATTTTTGTGTTCAGGAGCAGGGATGCTCAGGGTCTGTAAAGGAAAGGAAATGTATTCATTTTCAAAGCACTCTGGAATTCATTAGTTAATATAAATAAGAATTGCTAGTGATGTGGCTCTCAATTATATATTACCAACTCTCGTCAATCACTTCATCACTAATTATAGAACTTAAAAATTAACCACCCCAAATTATTACCTATGCATCTAGAAACCTGTAGCAATCAAAAGGAAAATTACCTCATTGCCTATGAGCAGCATTTCATGAGTAGAGAGCAGTATCAAGGTCTCTGTCACAAGCCCGTTCATGGTGTTTTCTATGGGACTGGCACAAAGCATGGCCGCTTCAAAGGCTAGAACACTCAGGCACAGCAGCGCTCTCATGGCTCTGAAATGCTCAGTGTTTGCTTTAGCAAAGAAAATGCATAGCAGAAGCTAGTATCCCCAACCAATTTATTCTGTCTCTAAGGAAATGAATAATTTCTAACAATCAGATAGAGACTACTTAATAATGGCAAATCGTGAAACTAAATGTTTCCAATGTATTGTATCTCAAAATATAATTTCACTTTTTATCTTTTAATATAATAAAAATCCCTGTTCTTCCCCCTTAAAAACACTCACTTTTTAAAGAAGAAAATCTTTGGACTGATACATCATTGCCCCATTGTTTGCATTTTTAAAAATCAGGTGGAATTTCCTCTTAAAATGTGTGTAAAAAAGTATAATATAAACCACTAAGTAGAATTTTACGCTATAATGCATAATTTATTTTCAGGTTGACTGAACTCTCTTAGAGTCAGAGTTATAGCTAGATTGATCTTCCTTAAAAAGAATTGAAAATACTGGTGGGAAGATAGTCATTAGAGATCATCAAACTAGTTGGGTCAAGCCATGTTCACTAGAATCTTGATTAGGATCCTTTCTGTCACTGGCGACCTCAAACATAACCAGAGTGGTTGAGGCCAAACAGTGAATAACAATTCAGGGTTTAGTTAACAATTCATATTTTTTAAAAAACTGTCTATCATGCTATGTGCCAAAATTGTGTAAATGGCATTGCCAATGAACCTATGGACCCCTATTACGGGGGTAGTTATATAACAAAGACAACCTCTTATTCAAAATTCTATATCTTTTTTTTTTTTAAATTCACATGTGAAATGCAGACAACATAAAATTTAATAGCTTAACCATTTTTGGAAAAAGACTTATTTACTTATGCATGCAATAACTGGAATACAGGCCAGAGGTGTGTGGGGCGGATGAGAGGATTTACCAGAGACAGAGTGGGGCACAGAACAGGTGGATTGACTGAAACACACTGCTGAGGGGAGCAGTGAGTCAGACAGGAGAGGTCTGCTGTGCCATGTGCGTTACCTAGTTGGGGATGGAATTTGTGCTTCAGTGGCTGCAGACAACCTCATAGTGCTGCACTTTAGCCCATTGTGCAACAGGGAGGGCCCCATCTTAAACATTTTTAATTGCACTGTGAAAAACATCAACACATTCACAAATTATGTGTTCCATCTCCAAAACTCTTTTCATTTTGTAAAACTGAAATTCTTGTGGTTGAACAACTCCTCATCACCCATTCATTCAACCCCTGACAGCTTGCATGTTTCATTTTTATTTTTAAAAAAGATTTATTTATTTATGCACACAAGAACTGGGGTGCAGGCGGGCTGATAGGACATACCAGAGACAGAGTGGGGAGCAGAACAGGCAAATATACTGGAATACACTGCTGAGGGGAACAGCTGGCAGGTCAGAGGTGGTCTGGCATGCCATGTGGGTCACCTCCCTGGCTGGGATAGAGCTTGTGCTGCAGTGGCTTGGGACAGTTTCACAGTGCAGCACTTTAACCCACTGTGCCACCAGCGAGGGCCCTCACTTCTATTCTTTCTGTGAAATTGGCAATTCTAGGTAACTATATTAAAGTGAAATCGCATGGTAATTGTCTTTTTTGTGACTGACTTATTTCACTAGGCACAATGTTCATCCAAATTGCAGCATATGTCAGAATTCCTCCCTTTTCAGGGCTGAAAAGTGTATGTACATATATTTTATTTGTGTGTGTGTATGTATGTATGTATGTATATATATATTCCATTTGTGTGTCTATACCATACCATATTTTGTTTATCCATTCATCTGTTGATGGACACTTAGGTTGTTACCACATTTTGACTACTGTGGCTAATGCTGCTATGAACACGAGTGTACAAAATTATGTTTCTTATAATGTTCTATGTCATTAACTTTTCCCCTGAGTATCCGATCTCCCCAACCCAAATGCAAACTCTCTCAGTGAGGCAGGAACCATATATTAATTATTGCTTTATACATGTAATGATTGTAATATCCTGTGCAGAATAATTCCAAGTAATTATATAAATATGCTATCCTTATGGAAATGTGGAGTATAGTCACCCTTAAGTGTGGGATACAAGATGACTTTTTTTAAGTAATTCGGCAGGGGAAGGGAATTGGAAGAGAGGTAACTTTGCATTAGAGAAACCTGGCAAATCTCAGCCTGATGATCAAGGTCCACATCAAAAGGGGTAGGTCAAATTATAGTTAACAGCACATAACCTTAAAATGATGTGATGAGAATGGTACTTTATCTGTAGTCTCCCTCCAAATATATAACCGCTGTCTAGCTATGAGAGAAACATCTCACAAACTCTAATTGAAGAGAAAAATACCTGCCCAGTACTTGTTAAGTTCTCAAAAACAAGGAAAGAACTGTTAAGTTCTCAAAAACAAGTTAACTTCTCAAAAACAAGTTAAGTTCTCAAAAACAAGGAAAGCCTGAGAAACTGTCACAACTCATAGGCGTCTGAAGAGACATGATGAATACATGCATTGTAGTACCCTGGATGGGATCCAGGACCACAAAAAGGATAGTTATCAAAACTAAGAACCCCCCCTAATCTGAGGAGAACCAAATTGGTACCTCATGGTGACAAAGTATCATAGTAAAGTGAACAAAAGAGGAACTTGGGGTTCAGGGTACATAGGAGCTCTGTAATATTCTTGCAACTTTTCTGTCAATCTAAAATTATTAAAATAAAAAAATTTATTAAAATCACATTGCAAGTTGAAAAGAATTCATATTTACTGTTATTATGAAAAAGATGACGTATCCCGTAAATGTCATGTACTTGGGACCTTTTTAGTTCACCACTAGGCTGTGAACTCCTTGAGAATAAAGATTTTATATAATTGATCTCTTTATCCTCCAGAACCAGGGTATTGTGGGCACTCAGTTAATGGTTGTTGAGTAAATAACTAAATGCATAAGCAGCTAAATAATAATAAGTAATAATAACTAAATAACTAAATGAATAAGTATTGGTTGAACATATTAATTTCAGTACTTTGGAAATGAAAGGAGTCTATTCCCTAGGATGGGAGCCTGAAATTAATAGAAAACTCTTTGGCAGGACTTCTGGAAAACAGAGAAAGCAAAGGCTTAGGGCTCAGCCATCAAGGTAAGAATGATGTGAATTACCTTGACATTTTTAAAAAACTAATATTATTTTAAAAGAGAAAGAAATTAGCAGTCAATGCTCCATCTTTTAAAGAAATATTACTTATTTAATTTAGAAAAAAGACTGAGTAATGTTGAAAGGGTGTTTGAATGGTTATCATTTTGCCTTAAAATCTTTCTCTCAATTAGTGGCTTTCAATTTGGCAACAGGTTTCTAAAAACTCATAATTGTGGTCATTTAAGGTCAAATAACTTTTCTATGAAGTGATTCTAATCAATCAATGGGCATGATGCTACAAAAATTTTGAGATGACTAAATGAGAAATGATAGCATCTTCTCACCCTACTCTCACCTCTATTCTTTCAATCCCCAAGCGTGGCTCTAAAATAAATTTTTATCAAGTAAATAACATTATGGAAAAATAAAAGCAGAACTTTTTCCTCTTAGTGTAGCAACTATTGGCATTTTGATGACTTCGCTTAGTCCTTAATGATACAAAGGAATCTTAGAGTTGTCATCAACGAATACTCACAGATTATTTTTATCTTTAGTTATTGTTCCTCGATATTTCCTTCACTTACCTACTATTAGATGAAATTGACATACCATAGTCTACTTTACTATTTGCATAATGTTACTAGAAACATCTTTGTATATTTAAAGAAACACATTTCCTTGATCATGTCTATAGTTTTTGTGGTTGTGCCAGCAACACACAGAACAGGTTCTCTATTGATTCAAGAGACCAATAAAGGAGAGGCCAAAGCCCTCCGTGGCTTTTCCAAGTTTTAATGATCTTTCTACACCAATTAGGAGGCAACTGTTGCAGGGGAGGCAGGAGGTTAAAGGAATCGTTAGCCTTTCTGGTTCTCTCTGACGTTCTGTTGCAGCACTTCCATCAGCGTCTGCCACACCTCGTCCTCTGTGTGACACCTCAGCCTCCAGGTGCAGGTGTTCACAATTTCACGGGCCTACACCACGTTTAGGGGTCCACCATTAGGAATGCATTCCCCCCACCTCCCCAGAATCCATCTGCATTCAAGGCCGCAGGTGATAGCCTCAGAAGCCAGCAGCATAAAAAGCCTACAGTTGCGCTACAGTTACAGCTGGAAATATTCGATCCACAAACAATAAAACTCATATTTTTTACTTATAAACACCTTAACAAACAGTAATTTTGTTTCATCCCAACACCAGCTTATAAGACACGGTCCTTTAGCACTAGGGTTTAGTAGTTTTGCTAATGAGTGAAATGAGCAACAGGCATTCATAATCAGAAACTGAGAAATATATTGCAAGACTGAAGAATGCTGTTAAAAATAACATTATGGAATTTTTTTAAAAAAGATTTATTTATTTGTGCATACAGAATTGGGGTACAGGCCAGAGGCTCAGGGGCAGTGAGAGGCTTCAGCAGAGACAGAGTGGGGAACAGAACAGGCAGATCCACGAAGTACTCTGATGCGGGGAGCAGCGGGCGGGTCAGGAGAGGTCTGCCGCACCATGTGGTCACCTCCGGGGCAGGCGGGGATCGAACTCATGCGGAAGCGGCTTTAGATTCTCAGTGCTGTGCTTTAACCCGCTGTGCCACCAGGGAGGGCCACATTATGGAATTTTAAGACAAGAAACAGAAATGCTAAATAATAATAATGTGGGAGGTAGAAGAAGCGATTACAATTGGTGTATTTTAGAGTTCTTGTATTGCTTGAAGGTGTGTAAAGGTAGTAACTTTTATTTATTTTCTGCCTTTTACTTTTTTTTAAAGCTTTATTTATTTATGTATATACAAGTGGGATACAGGCCAGATGTGCAGGGGTGGTAAGAGGAATTAGCAGAGACAGAGTGGGATAGAATATGCAGACTGATGAAGTGCACTGCTGTCTCGCC